CTTAACAAAACAACAACTGTTTTCAACCTGAAAATTGTCAGTAATAGTAATATTAATAATGTATTGTTTTATATAGCGCTTTTCTGGACACTCAAAGACGCTGCACATGACAATAAACTACCACTGTAGACACAGCTGCCCTGGGGCACACTGACAGAATCGAGGCAACCAGTATGTTCCATCGGCATTGACCACCAACCATTCACACACTCATCAGACTCTTTCTAGGCAATGTGGGTGAAATGTCTTGCCTAAGGACACAACAACAGTTTGGCACTTTACTGCTGTAGCCGCCCCACTGTGGCACCTGGTGTTCCCAGGGGTCTCCCATCACTGTACTAACCCAGCCCTGCCCAGTACAGCTTCAGAGATCTAATGGGATCTGGCTTTCACATGCAAGCATGGCCACATAGTATGACCTGTGAGACAGTAGAATTCTGTCTCACATTTTCAGGAAAACTGTCCCAGATTTTAGCTGCATAAACCTGAACTAATGAACAGATGAATCCATGCAACTTGCGATAGAGGAATACTATATTTTCTATATATTACTATGTTTTCTATTTAGATTTAATTTCATCTTTCATTTAATTTCCAGAGCATCATTTCATTTGTCTTAACATTTTGGCTGTTTGTAATGTGTCGAGTATTGCAGCTTTGTGAGACAACTGACTGAAGACTACTTCCTCACTGCTATTTAAAATCCTAAATTTGTCATTGACTTTGACATTGCTGCAAAGACAAGGGATTCAACCTGAATTGTTTGAAGATTTAAAAAAAAAAAGTCTGGATGATAGAAATACTTTCAATAATACATAAAGCAGGTTTTGAGACTTGTGAATAGTAAAGGGAGACCAAGCTTCACCTGGAGATTTCAAATGTATCTGAGAAAGTACTAAACCCTTCCAAATCTCTTTTAAAACTTTACGAATGTTCTGTGTACCCTGACCAAAACAAAACAAGATGACAGGTGCCAGTTTACGACATTGCTTCTCTTTATCTTTCGGTCTCCTCCATTCCCCCTGACAACGAGAAACGGAGAGAGAAAAGAGGGAGAGAGAGGGAGAGAAGGAAAGAGGCGGGTAGCACAAAAAGAGGGTTGCAGCACGCAGGGGACCTGAAGTGTGTTTAGGAGGAAGACGGCTGTCAGTAGCTGTCAATCGTCTGGCTTTTTGATGCCATCGTCTCAGCACAGCCTTGTCTGTCTCACAGTCTAACAGCTATCAAAGACTCACTCACAGAAGAGACAGGCGCTAGGTTTGAAACATGAGGAAATCCACACGTTCACTCATTTACACCTGGCATGTAGAACTTTCAGTAATTCGGCAGTGACAAATTTCATGCCATCTTTCTTACCCAGGAGTGTATGAAGTCAACTATATTACTAATCGTGGCTGTGTGCAAATGGAAGAAAGTTCACGATTTAAGGTGTGATCTTTTTCATGGGGAAACATATTTGCGGTGTTGGTTTGTGAAACAGGCGTATTTCAAAATGTACCTCCACAGATTGATAATACTACACTTGAATACTATCATCTTTTAATGTAATTGCAAAATGACAGCCTTGTACTTCAGTATGCTGTTTCGCCACTAGAGGGCCATGAATAATGCACTATATTCTTACATTTTGCATAATTACCTGATTAGGTTTCAAACTGTGCATAACTATGATGTGCAGGTTTGAAGAATATAATTGACAATATGACAGTTGTGTGTATTAGTTTGCGTGTCATTGTTTTATGCGTTTATATCAACATATAGTTCATTAGCCATAAAAAGAATATTACAATTGATGTAAAAAAGTTAGTTACCAATATTTGAAATGTATCTTTTTAATAGACCATATAATAGTCTTGTGTCACAGAATAATTCAGGTGACTGGGACCAGATGACCACTTGGCCGAGCAGCTAAAGCATTGTCCAGAGTGCATTCACAGACTGCTGTTTTCACACACGGCTCAAACACTCGCCTCTGGTCATCCTCAGGGAAGTCCTGTCAGTTCTTATGCTTGGTCTTGATCAAGTGCTCAACTATTGAGTTCATGTACATAAAACATTAAAGGTGTACATCCAAAAGGCAAACGTCTGTTTATTAGCATCACTGCTCCATAAACCAGTTTAATTTCATCCAGGAGGAGACATGCCTGCTATGCCGTCCTATCAATGACATTTAACACCGAAAATAAACCATAAAACAAAATAATAAACATCCGAGTAGCAAATAAATTAGATTCATAGAAACCTGAGGTTGGATTTATGTAAGAAAGAATAAGAGCCTTTGAACAAATTGATGGCGTGAGAGCTCTATCAAAGCACCAGTGAGACTATAATATAGTCTTATAAAAACACTAGCAACACTCTAAAGTAGCTTCATCTCTCCTCTTTGGCTGACTTAAGTGCTTAAGTAATGTATTGCTTTCATAAGTGTGCAACTTCACAGCACTTTCTTTGGCAAAAATATGCCTCCTTCCTCTGGGTAGTGTGATTAGGAAAAAAAGAGCATTACTATGAAATAAATTCAAGCCGAGACATGAGCAGGAGGTGTTAGCTGCTGTGAGCAGAGTCGCAGCAGTTCTCTCACGGAGAGGCCCCAGCGACAACAGCGAGTCACTCTAGAGGTATCCATCACAAGCAACACTGTCCCCATGGCACCGGAGCTAATGTATCACCTCTGGATTGCAGTAATATCTGTCTGATGGATGTTTTCAGAGTGGAGTGGGCCACATAGTACCCTATAGTCAGAAAGCCGGGTGCTCGGAGTGGCTGAGAAGATGGGACTCTGCTGCTGGAGGTCCATTACACCCCTCCTCCTGAATCCCGCACCTTGGCCCCAGTCCATTCATCCACTGCTCCTCGCCATGCTCAGTCTCTGTGCATGTGTGTGTGCCCTTGCCTGCTTGCATGTGTTAGTCACAGGTCTCCAGTGAGTGGCCGACTGCCATCCTGGGGCGATGCCTGGGCTTCTCTAGTCAACTTTACTGCCTTCATTTGGTCTGATGAATGGTGGGCCGCCTTATCAGTCCCTCTGCCTACAATCTCATGTGGTTCCCTGGAGCCTCACAGTGCCGCCAGCACTGCTCGCTGCATTTTTTGCTTGTTCCACAAACGCCGCACAAAGCCAGTAACATATGTGGACACATGGGTGCACAATTTCAGCCTGATAACACAATTCCAGGTGTGCAATTCAGAAAATGACACACAAAAATACAGTGGCAATTGTCGAAGAATTGCGGAGCATGCAAAGACAACTGCACACGCAAGCACAAGAGAACTTCCAAATCCATCATCTTTATTTCTTCGGCAATCTGTTAATATGTTTTTCTTGTAGTTGCACTTTTCTCACACAAATATTTGTTTTGTTGATTTTCTTTTCTTCAGGAAACACAAAGGAAATATCACCTATCTCCCACTCTGCCTCATGCCAAAATAATCAATGCTTTCCAGAGAGGGACTGTGGCGCGACATGCGAAGAGGAAAAGCAGAGGGATGCAGACATCGCTGCGAGCTCTACTTGTAGATAATAAGCGAGGAGCAGTCCTTGGGTGTGTTTTATAGCTATCAAGACTCATCATATTTGACATGCATTCTGGTGTTTACAGTCTTCTCCGTAAAATCCTGCAGCTATAGAAGCACCGTGCAGGGAGCACACGGCTCAGCGCGTACACACTGTGCACAAACACAAGTGCTTAGCAAAGAAGAGCCTGTTGTTGCTTTAGCTTTGCTTCTCCTCCTCTCTTCTCCGTGTCCCATCTCTTATCCACGGCACAATTGGCGGCGTTAGCACCTGTCAGCTGACTGACTTCTTGTTCCCGGTGGCTTATGAAAAAATCATGGCTGTTGGGCTTCAGAGTCTGTTTTCCCATCAATATGAATTCACCATGGTCTTCATGCAACATTAGGCCAGACCCTGTTTTCATACAGCCAGCCACACACTGCTGTCTGTAATACACAGGAGGAAATGAAAGAGTAAATAGTCCTTTTAGAATGTTCCATTCAATCATGGGTGGAACCAAGTCGCATATGAAAGGAACCAGTATATTTTGCTTTCAAAAGCCCATTTGCTTCCAATCCCTTGATATTACTGCACAATGCCATGTAACCTTAGTAGAGTGTCCTCTCCACACTGAAATGAAACATTACGATTGTTAAAAGCAAGCTCTTCCCATTCATCCTTTAGTGCTACAGGAGGTTATATTGGCTGTTTGTGAAATGAGTACATACAGGAATATAATGAATATATATTCAGTATATATAATGAATTTAGAAAGCAGCACTTTCTAATCCCACATATGCATACTCATGTATTTTCACCTCTCCTTTGACGTAACATTGTTACATTGAATTGGACATTTGTATACTTGTCACTTGTCTCTGCTTCGCTCGTATAATAATCCAAGTTACCGGAGGTAAACAATGATTTTCACAGTTTATGAGAGACATAAGATCTAATATACCTACAGACATGATGCGTGTTTTCGGTCCAATGCGTGCTCTATCTATCTGAAGCAGTGTAATGCATTGTATGTGTGTTTGTAAAAATAGTATAAACTATTTGTTCAACCAGAAATGTTCTTGTGTTTTCAATAAGACAACTACAAAAGATAGATTAAAATGTAAAAAATGTAAATCATTGGCCATTTATACTTATTTGAATTGATTATATATGCACACACACACACACACACACACACACACATGTAACAATCCCAAAGCCACAGCTAGGATACAAAAGGAAAATATTCTTCACGATTTCTTTTACCACACAAACAATGATTTAAAAGGAAGCCTCCAAACCTAAGACCCGTGGTGAAAGATATAGTTCCATACAGCTCGCACAACAATGATTGGTTTAGTCATCACTTCACATGAGCTTGGCTGGACCTGCTGCTAAACCTCTGCTTCCCTTCATCTCCCCTTATGCTTTTAAACATGTTGAAAGTCAATTACCCCCACCACTTCTCTCTGACATCATCACGCTAATACAAGCTGCTCTTGACCTTATGTTTGTGCGTCTCCAGCGGACGGGAGCACGGAGCGTCTCCCTGATTGGATTAACTTCAGATGCGCTGTGTGTCCGCCTCTATTACCCGGCCTGTTGTGATATTGAACCTAGAGCCCAGAGACGCTCCCCTCCTCCCTACGCTGGTCCCGCCACTGTGTCCCACCCTCCCCGAAGGCCTGCTTGTTCCTTCGCCACGCCATCTCCCTTGTATCGCCCCGTGCCAGACTGTCACACACACGCACATATGCCTCGGCTCACACTTCCAGCTCAGTCATATCCCATGTGTCGCGGCGGCGTGATGGAATGCCTTGCAGAAGCCCCTCCACGCCGCCCTCCGTCCCCTCGGCCCCCTTTCTCCCTGCTTTAGTTTCACCAAGTCCGGAGGGGTCGTCTTGTATGGAGAGCTTAATCAAGTCAATTAAGTGAGCCTGATTGCCATGGCAAATTGGTCTGGGGTATAACATTATCATTAGAGCCCCAAGTGCAATCACATTGGGACACGCCAGTCGCAATGGTTTAAGTAATAGAACGGGCTTTTCATAGCTGGGGCAAAGATTGTAATTTAAAAAAAAGTACTTGTAGGTGTATTGCTCTGAAATATGTCACAGGTGTCACAGGCAACGAACTTTATAATCAATCTGTTTTGTGCTTTACTTTAGTGTAAACATATTTGGGTTAGGAAAGGCAACAGTACATACTTACCCTATATATGTGTGAGACTTTTTTATCTTATGTAATTTTTTTGATTCAATTCAATTCAATTCAATGTATTCTTGTAAAGCCCTAAATCACAAACAGTTGCAATAAAAAAAACATATTGGTATCGGTCCATAAGAGGCAGATGACCAATGTCCATAAATGTTTAATGTTTTGAATCTATTTAGAATTGTTTTAACTGAGTTTCAAACGTGTTCGGTTTTGAACACGTTTCATTTCTGTGTCGACTTGTACATGACAAATAAAAATACATAATCTAAAGTCTGAAATGTAAAATTTCCTGTGCACATATTATGAGATAAACCTTTATTTGTCGTTCAGTGATGAAATGTGAATGCCTTAATATATCCCATGTACAAACCTGCAAAGTGTGACATTTTTGACAGAATAAACTAAAAGGTTTTGATTATTATAACAGAAAAAAAGGAAATCTCATCACTGTCCTTACCCAAAATATGAATGATCGTTTACTTTACAGCCGCAACTCTACTTTAAAATGTTGGTTAATGACTGTTTATTGTTGTATGATGTTGCATTGTTGTTATGGTACTTTAAGATGCAGAAGTGCTGTAAAGAGCCTCATCTGACAGTCTGACACCTGACAGCCACAGTAGGTGTTGAGGAGGCACTGTATACAAAAACCCATATCATTTATAAATCCCACATAGCCATCTCCTCAAACCATGATCCACCTGCAGTAATTGTTTTCACATATGACATTAGTCTTTCTGTGGTTTACTGAAGGTGTCAACCCCTTTTCATTCATCCAAGATATTTTTTTTTTTAACCGTAGCTTGTGCCCCCGAGCAACTCTTTTGATCTTTCTGAAGACTGTCAACATATCGCGTGACTCCATACAGAGTGAATTCTGTATTATTTGCACGCTGGGTTAATAGAATAGATGCGGGGATAATTTGAAAGTCAAACAACCACACCTGCCATGCACACACCCCTATTTTTCTAAAGTCAAAATCTGTTTTGTTACATAGTCAGAAGCGAAGTGCATTGCAAACAGAATTGATAATTACAGCCCTTTATATTGGAATTAAATGTAATCCATGTCAGAAAAGAATGCTTTGGCAGTGATTGTCACATCCGTGTCTTTCTAAATTAATATTTTGGTGCACCAAACTGGCACAATAGATTCTAGAGAACAAAATCTGCACCAATGTGTTTTTTTTTTTCTAATGGCGCATGCGGGCGTACAGACCTTTCCCGGGATGCCTTATACAGACTTGTCAAGACGACGCTGTCAAATGGAGGACGAATCAGAGGTTGTCAATTGGATGCTGAGAAGTGTCTGTCAGTCGCCTTGACGTTGGTCTCTCCATTGTGATTAGCGTCACTTGGTATTCCTGCGCCAGCGTGTGACGGCTGGCTGAGTGACTGGCGCTGGAGCTGCGTCATAAGCAGTCTGCGATAAACACACAAATGATGAGGATCACAGCGGGGTGTCATTACATGCATGTACGGTGTAGTAGAGTCACAGGTCAATTCTACATGAGGAGAGTGATACTAGCACACACTCTGGATTGGGGGAACAGGCCCATCAATGTCTTCTGGTTACTTAGACAACACTGCCACTTTCTGGTCAGATTGAGGTACTGCAGGCCTTTGCTTGGGCATGTATTATTGACAGTGCTAGTGTTAATGCCATATGATCCAACTTGGACTCTGAGGAGAAAAGGGACTGGCCTCCTGCTGGTGCCCAGAGTCAGAACTAAGATGTATGCAGCTAAAATTTTGAACAATCTTCCAGAAAATGTGAGACAGGCTTCTTCTTTGACAATGTTTAGATCCAGGTTAAACTGTGCATACAACTGAGGGATTTTATCTTCACTCTTGTTAATGTATTTTAGTGTACTCTGATTATTTATGATGTTAATGCCCTTTTTGGTTACGCACTTTGAGTTGCCTTGTAAATGAACTGAGCTATACAAATAAACTTGCCTAGCCATCATGTGAGGATGTATACTGAGACTAATTGAATACTATTTAACCATTGGTAATGGTTAAATAGTAATGTTTTAAAACTGTGTAGTTCATGTTTTAATCTAGTGTGACATACATATTGATTTACATTAAATGGTAAATAAATCATCACAGCCACATATGCCAGGATTTATTTGTAGCCTAAACGTGACTTTGAGGAAAACGTTTGCTGACCCTAACGTTTCCTTCGATCGTGAGTATGCCTTAGGACACAATTGAAGTAAGTTTATGTCAATATATCATTAGCATTATGTCCCAATGCCATAGTTAATGTTCATGATGGAGTGTGGACTCTGAAATATTGTATATGTCCAGTTAAAAAACTCAGTCATCTTAAACTCTGACTGAAAATAAAATGCCAGGTCAACTGGGCCAAGATTACTGCCATTTTTCACCAGTAAGTCAACACATTACAAAATGCATTTTTTTAAGATGTTGCTGAAATGTGTAAAAAGAATCATCCCAGCAACCATGTTATATATTCCTGGTTGAAAATAATGACATCAGTATCCGGGTTCTCTAGGATCTATAAGAGGCTACCGCACAATAATACACTAGATTTAAACTCCACTATAAATAATAGACATTAAAAAAGAATATTGAACTTAGAGTTAATCTATTCAAACTCCAAAAGATGAATGTAAAGTATGCTTTCATGAGGGACTTCAATAAAACCTTTTCTTTTATCCTTTTATCCTTTTACTATTTTGTTGTTTGTGGCATTTTATTGCATTTATTCATTTATAACATATTAGAATTATGTAGCACTATTAGCTAGGGTGTGGCTTTTACGTAATCCTTTAGCACCGAGCTAGCTTACCTTGTTTCTTCAGTTCTTATTTTCATTCATGGGGTTAAGATTAGAGGCAAAAAGCACAACGTCATGGTGGCATGTGTCGTAGGCCGCCATCTTTGAAGACCAGGCCTTGCGTATTAGCTATAAAACTACTTTTCAACAGCAGTTCCAAAGCAAGGTGGAAACATCCCGAACATTACAATATAAAAAATATCCATACATACGTCTTCCATCTTCCACCAGATGTCGGTGCATTTCAGCTCTTCAACACTTTCATCCATTTTGACTGTGTGGCTGTACCTCCTTAGCTCAGTATCGTCTCAAGAGGCTAACTAGATATTTGTTTATACTTCAAGTGGTACTTGTTTATATCTTTTGTAATAGGACTTATTAAAAACACCCCTTTCGTATAGTTTTAAATGTGTATATTGTAAAAAGGATATGTTTTAATTGTTTTTTTAAAATCTTTTTAATGTTTAGACGTATTTACTCTTGGCCGCTAGAGGGCGCTAGGTTTGGCTTGTAGATGGGTTGCCAGATTGAGCAGTTTCCCGCCCAACTTGGTGGCTTTGTGCTGTATTTTGCGGGCAAAAATTTGGGTTTTGGCAGGTGGATAAAACCAGCCCAGAATCTAAAGTGCTGGTTTTTAGATGTCTATTGGATCCATAGACTGTAAAGATATCTTTAGATTCCTCTTCCCGCGATACTCTGTGCAGGCAGCAGGGCAGAATTGCTCACAAACACATCAACAGACCTCTGTGTATGAAATGTTCTATGTAAATAAACTTGACTTGACAATAAAAGAAGCGTATAAAAATTATGAAAACAAAAATAAACTCCAATGCGGTTCCCACAGAGGGTAGTGGATATTTTTGTTCCACTTGTTCAGACTTATAGACACATGAACAATAAACAGAATCTTGATACATTTCTTTCCATCACATAAGCTGAGCCGAACTTACTTTGCATATCATAAAAGTTGCTTGCAAAATTGGACAATCTTTAAAAACGGGTCATTTTAAAGATTGTCAAAACCACCACTCACTCCCATCCCTTTGAGTTGCAATGTGAGTGATATTTATGATTGAGAATAATGTTCTGAACTAAATTCTTGAGCTATGGATGTAGATTTGTAGGGTTTATTTTTTTATGGAAGATGTTTGATAGTGATGTGTGTTCATTCTTAACAGCCCAGCTCAGGTTAACGCTGTGTGCTGTGTCCGCTATTTGTTTGCATTAAATCCTTGTCAAAGTACAACCATGGCCACGGAAGATAAACATTATTTTCCACAGCTTGTGAGGTTTAACCATAGATTTTAAATATTAGAAGACATTTTGACCCCTATTTCCGCCGTTGAAACTGGTGAAAAAACACTTTCGGGCTACAGGCTGATTCCTTTGCACTGATTTGTTATTTTGGTTTTAGAGGGGCTCTTGATGTCGATGTTGAAACACAGAGGACATACACAGTTAAGCGATATTGAGAAGAAAATGCACAAATTCACAGAATAATCTGTGAAATATGCTTTCAATATCTGTTTGAGCTGGTGGTGCAGAGAGGTGGTCTGGCAGAGTCAGGCAGCTGAGGACTGTGGGAGGTTGGAGAGGAGACCAGAGAGAGACCAGTGGTGGAATCTCCAGAACTGGCAGATGAGCACCCGGGGTATGTACTTATGTGGCTGGGCAGTCACCAGACATGACAGGAGTGGCTTCAGCTGGGCATCTTCATTCTCCTGCTGCTCTCGGCCTGTGCTCTTCCGGCCGGAGCTTGAGTCTCCCTCCTTACAGCTCTGTCTCCTGCCTTCTTAATGGAGGTCACCATCTCCTCCGCTGTCAGCATACAAACTTTATACCTCCTTAATCTGCCTTTGCTCCTGCTGAAGTTCAGCCCCACCAGAAGGTCAGCCAGGCCAGGAGGCATCCCAAATACACCACAGTGGAGCATGAAACAGACCAAAATAGACACGTCAGAGCACCATCAGAGACCTCTAGGACCAGAGAAAAACAATTAATAGCAAAACATCAAAAGAGAGAATACCCCACAATCATGCACTTACTTATTCCACTTACACTAAACCTAAAGTGCAGTAATTTAATAGGTGCGGTAGGAGGCCATGAGGTAGAAGACGGCGCAGGTGCACCAGGCCCAGACTGCATGATTTGGGACCAGTCAGCCACCTCTCGTTCCAGGGGGCAGAGGCCACACCTCCTGAAACTCCTCATTCCCTCATCCTCAGATATGAACTTTAGAACTCCTTTTTGGAAGGAGTGGCTCACAACCAACAGATCCCCAGTAATGCCTGCAAAAATCTGCCTTCGAGGGTCCAAAACATCTCACATTCCAGGGCTAAAGGATGTGAGGAGTGTGCATTGGCAGACACAGAAGAATGACCCTAGTGGACCAGTCAAGTTTAGCAGCTGTGGACTTTTGAATGCAATCATTAAATGAATGGGGCTCATGCCGGCTAACGCATGCACAAATGTATGCCCCTGACAGAGGCCTTAGTGCAATATGGGTCAAATCCAGAGGACAAATTTTCATACGGGGAAACTAAAGTTTCACAATAAACTGTGAGCCATGGCAACGTGGGAGGGGCTCAGAGTAGAGCCGCTAATCCTCTATGTCAGGGAAAATCATTGACCTTTCCTAGGATTTTGGTTCATATCTTGAAAATGGAAGGTGATATTGGGGATGATTATTTTTGGGGTGCAAATTAACTGTTTCCAGAAGGTGGCGCTAGAGGGATATGACCGAAAGAGATGAGTGACTGTTTCATTTTTAGTCCCACAGAAGGAGCAGGTTGTGTCCAGCAGAGTCCTGAAACGGCCATTTAGATAGATAGATAGATAGATAGTTACTTTATTGATCTCCAGATTGTCCAGCAGCAGAAACACATCCACAGGAATTCTCCTGTGAAGTATGCAATGACATGAACATTATCTCAATAAATATAGTGTCATTTAATTGAGTCACATACACGCGTCATAATGATAACATTCATAATAATTCAATCTTGTACGTGTGGTCTGCTGAAGCAGCAGCATCACAGAGAGGGACAGGAAGAAGCTGGACAAGGTCATCATGAAGTCCAGCTCAGTCCTGGGCTGTTCCCTGGACACAGTGCAGCAGGTGGGGGACAGGAGGGTCCTGAGCAAACTAACATCTATGCTGACCATGACTGTCACCCCCTGCAGGACACTCTCTCTGCTCTGGAGAGCAGCTTCAGTGACAGACTTATTCATCCTCGATGTGTGAAGGAGAGGTTCCGCAGTTCTTTCCTTCCTGCAGCTGTCAGACTGTGCAACAAACAACAAGGACTAATGAACACTGCCAACCTGATTCCAACCTGTTTCCATGTGTCATACATTGTTGCAATAACCTTATTTTATACCAGTGCAATATCCTTATCTTTCACCTGAATGTGCAATATACAGCTGCTGATGTACAGATGCTAACATATAACCAAACTGTACTTTATACTTTATATATAATGTTAAATTTCTATTATTATTTTCAAGATAGTGTTTTTTATACTTATTATTGATGCTAGAGTTAGAGATTTTGTTTTATTTTATTTAGGACAGCTATTGCTAAGGTAACGTGTGCTGTGTGCTCCTCTTTCCTACTGTTCTATAACTTGTGATGCAACGCTGAAATTTCCCCACTGAGGGACAAATAAAGGATCTCTTTATCTTAATCTTAATCTATAACAACAACAAAGTCAATAGACTATAGAACAGACATGTGGCGAAAGCCCAGGATGACTCTGCAGAGGGACAATGCTTGGCGCTCGCAGATGGCCAGAAAACACACTATTGCAGGTGTCTCCAAACTTTTTCACCCAGCGCACTACTTTCCTGTGACGATAAAGGTAGAGAGCTACTCCTTTAACCGGCCCGAGATAAATGTGGTGATATATCGGTGTGAACAAGCCTTATATTGGGTACAGTTATTATTTATCATCACATATTTGTAGTGACAAAGTAATAATAATGAATGATACATACTGATATATGAAGTATATTGTTTTATTTATACATTTCTAAATTCTTGGGCGGGCTATGGAAATACCACCTTCAATTGACTGCTTTCTACACAATCTTTGCCGTTGTTTAGCGAGGACAAAAAAAGTTGAACGTTGACAAGAAATGGATCATCAGAACATGAATGCGGAATTGACACAGTTTAATGATTGCAGTATAACTATGGACGGTATTTGGGACTTCCTACGCACACAAAAAAACAAAACTATGAGCTTCTTGAATAATTTAACTTCATATTAGCATTTGTACGTGTCACTTTTCTTTCTTCTTTCACTTTTCCTCACCTGAGAGAGGAGCATTGTCGACGCACACCTGACAGCCGTGGCCACGAGGCGTACAGCGGAGCTAGCAGCAGCAGCAGCAGAAACACTTTTTGATTTCTTAAACAGACACAAAGCAGCAGAGGGACCACGGTCTGTCTGTGAAATGTGCCGGGGAAGACTGGGAACTTGGCACAAAAAGCACAAACAATTAGCGTCACAAGAGCAGAGCACAGGCCCCGAGCTGAGCCTCCGTGTGGGGAGAAGGCAGCGACCGAAACACGTGGCGGTGTTTTCTGCAAGCTTCTTCTCAAATATGAAAATGAAAATGTGCTTTGTGTCGTGGCTCATCTATGTGAGACAGTCCCGTTGGGTGACATGTTTTTAATATTTACTTTTTTCTACGTTTCATCACTTGCATTAACCTATTTTGGGAGAAAGCGTCTCATTAAAAATATAGCACAGTTTGTACACAAAACAACTCAATGTGCTTAACAAAACAAGAAAGGAACAAGGCATTCAAATCAGAAAATAATCACAGTAGACAACCTCAGTTTCAACCTGGATTTGAACATTCTCAGAGAAGAAGCCTGTCTCACATTTTCAGGAAGACTGTTCCAGATTTTAGCTGCATAAATCTGAAATGCTACCTCCCCATGTTCAGCAGGAGGCCAGTGCCTGTGCTCCTCGGAGTCAGAGTTGGTTCACATGACACTAACATAGAGAGACTCTGATGTTGCTGATTTGATGTGGCCATTAGAATGCTGCCTACAACAGTGAAGTTTGTGGGAATGGGAATCCTGAGGTTGCCACGATAACAGTCAATGTATGTGCTTTTAGTTAAAAGAAACCCTCCAGTTGTTTATTTAATTTATGACATTTAGGTTTTTACTGAAGTCTGTGCTCACAAGTCAATACAGTCGTGCTGCAAATTGTAAAACAACCAGTAGAGGGCAGCATTGGAAGCCATGGACTTTTTATTTGTGTATTTTGCAACAATAGATGTGTATATTCATATGGATTTCATCCATAAACATGAATACTATCCATATAATAATAGTATTAATGAAGTAATGATAATTGTATAACACGAATATGACATAATTTATTCACTCTGTACAGTGTACCATACTTTAGGTTGTACTTTGATGTACTTTGTAATAATGGGTGCTGTCTGAAGACTGAAGTTGACGATGCTTTTAAACTGTGTGCATCTGAGGTGTTACAGCAGTCCTCGCTTGTGTGACAGGTTTAGGGCATTCTGCTTTCATTGGCAAGAGTCACAGTGGAGGCAAAGATGACCCGGTGCTGCAGTATGTGGTCAACAACTCCTTAAGAGAACACCCAGTACTCACCAAACTCAAACTGGTAAGATCATACACTTTTTATGCTTTTTTTGCTGATGACATCTTTGTTTTGAATGTTCTTTTTGGCACAGAGATGTCTATTATGTTTCATGATAGACAAAGACAGAAAGCCCTAAGATAAAAGAGGATCAACACCTATATCTGTATATCTCTTATATCTATGTCCAAACCTTTTAACAAGCGGGCCACTTTAGCTCACCAGACTTGTCCAAGGGCCGACAACCCAGAAGACAGGATTCTGGGTGTTCTGAGATTTAAAAGGATCTATAACAGAGCTGAAATTGGCTGAATGACAAATTAAAGAAATGGAGATGACTCTGCACAGCTTTTGCTCCCACGAGATTTTAATTCTCACTAAACAAACTGTGACGTTTCGGGTCATTACCCTTCATCAGACATGGCTGAATGACAAATTACCCTTTAGCCTTTCTGCTATGAACTACTAACAAACTGCTAAAGATTGACCCACATTAGCACCATTAACCAAATTTTGCGACACAATCCAAATGTCAATATACAAATAAAGTCAACTGCTGAATTCTAGAGGTTCTGAGCTTTACAAAATTTTTTACCTATGCATGTTTTTGATTTTGCTGAAGTTGGCTGGATGACACTGTGAACTTGTTTTTATAATCTCAAAAACGGCTTTAAATTACCGAGGCAGAGGGCCAAATAGAATAACACAGAAGGCTATATTAGTAAAACATGTGTCTTCATTAGGATTTTAAAAGTACAATTTGTGTGTACAAACTTTTCATGTTGACGGACACTTTTTTAATGCGGGGAACTATTAATCAGTTGTTTCTGAAGACCCGGATTAGTATTTACGTGTGTTACTCCTTCTTATTGAGGTTTGTTTGATCCACTACCACTATATTTTTCCAGAAAACTCTTGAACATCCTTGGAGCCGAATGATGGCTGCCAGTGAAGCGGCTCAGCTGATGGCAAACCTTCTCCGACTGATCAACGGCACCAAAGCGATCGAAATAGGTTAGAACAGAGGTTTTTCTATAGTATGTGTTGTAGTACTCATTCTGGTCATACATGGCATTGGCTGCAGTTACATTATTATTATTATTATTTTATCCATCTTTATCCACATTGGGGAGTTAATTGTCATGGTGTGGATTTTGTCTTATTTTGTTTTACTTTGATTTATATTCTCTGTGGGTTTTAGTTTATTTTTACTTTGTGTCCTGTGCGTGTGTCCCATATTGCTGGTCCATTGTCAACACCTCTCATTGTCTGTCCCTGTGTTCCTGGTTTCTATGGTTTTATTTTTATTTTTGGAGTTTATTTTTCCTCTAGGCTTTTATTTATTGTCATTAAATCAGGTTTTTTTCTGCATTTTGCATTGTTTCCTCTTTTATCTCACCCAATTAATTGACATTTATTCTCATATAGAACTACTATAGAAACAGCTGATTCGGTGATACCCACGAGACATAAGTGAATAATTGCATCTCTATTACAGGGATGTACACCGGATACAATGCACTGAGCATGGCTTTGGCAATGCCCAGTAATGGACGTGTAGTTGCTTGTGAAATTGAGCAGACCTACTTTGATATCGCTAAACCATTTTTCCAAGAGGTGAGTGTTTCCATTAAAAGCACAAAATGCAATTTACGTTTGAATCTGTTTTGCATTTTTTTTACTACGGCTGGTTGGTTTGTAGTAGATCACGGTCACGTCAGCATTTTGAGGTATGAAGGTGAAGGTGCAATCTGCTGAGTCTCCACTAGATGGCGATAGAGCTTCGGGCCGATGACCGCATAATGACCTCGGACACGGGCCGGGCTCGGGCTCTTCATTTTCAGGGCGGCAGAATACATTTACGAGCGCACCCACTGAATATAGCGTTCTATCACGCTGTAGTGTTTGTTGTTCTGTGTAGTGTTGTCATTGACGGCACATAGCATTACTTATGTAATGTGCAGATGTGTTGCAGCATCGGGGGCATCATACAGATGCGGCCGTTCACTCTGCACCACTCCGCACACACAGAACTCATTGCAACACATCACTACCATGTATAACTCCGCCCTCTAGCTAAGTCTGCGTTCATATCAGTGCGCGGCACTATATACTACGCTAAAACATTGTTATGGGAGGTTACAAAAAAAAAAAAAAGGCGGGCTTGATGCGGGTTTCGGGCCTGAAAATTCAGAAACCATATCGGGCCGGGCCGGGCTGGGGCGCCACCCCCTCGGGCCAGGGCCGGGCTCGGGCCCAGATAATAGGCCCGTGCAGGGCTCTACCACACAGTGTCTCAGATCTCAAGCAAAAACAGTAATATGACATTGACAATGAACCAGCTGTTCCACATGTCTTTGGAGCACACAGGCGGCTCTTGGGCAAGACATCACACCCACAGTCAAGTTTTAAGTTTATTTATTTCTACAATTGCAAAAAAAAAACACTATATTGGCACATTTTATCGGCTTTTAACACATCCCTCCAATGGCATTAGATCAACCTGTCAGCGGTAGTGGTTGCTTAAGTGTTATCTCTAGTTTTCACATGGCTGAGGACTCATTTCCAGATTTTGAGGCTCGGCTTAGTTAGGAGAATTGTACCTTTGATGCTTGTTTTTGGTGGTGGGGTGAATATGAATGCCCAGAGGAAACTTACACAGGTACAGGAAGAAACGTGCAGACTCAATGAAAGAATCACACCTGCAACCTTCTTTCTGAGAGCCAGGTGCGGCACCACTCAGCCACTGTGTCGCCCCTATTAAGTTTTGTTAGGTAACCCTGAATATATACATTTCTTACTTAACTTAAACTTAAAGTCAAGACTGGGACCTTTTATTCTTTATCTCAGTGTTTTAACTCAATCCAAGTTCATTCATTATGATACATACTGCAAGTGAAGAGAAATAAGTGAGAAATTAACAGATCTTAATTTGAGCATAAAGCCATAACAAGATTGACCAATGAGACAAGCAAAATTATCTTGTTTAATAAGTTAAAATAATTGTCTCCCTGGAAAAAATAAAATAAAACAGCAGTTCTTGAAATAAGACTTTGTCCCATTGGAATTCTTGCTTTAAGACACTCAGATTGTACTCAAGATAAGATTTTTTTTTTTTTTACATGTATGAGTTTTACTTCATATTTGTTATTATTTGCAGTGTATTCAAGTACTAATCTGATAGTAAGTTTGCATTATGACTCTGACATTCATTTATTAAAAAGTTTTTGTTGAATATACCCATTCAGAGAAAACATTGAAACTCCACTCTTTAACTAAGCAGAGCATGGCCTGGTTAGTACTGTGATGGGAGACCTCTGGGAACACCAGGCGCCATAGTGGGGCGTCTGCGGCTGTAAAGTGCTGAACTGTCGTTGTGTCCTTTGGCAAGACACTTCCACCAAATTGTGAAGGTGGTCAAAGGTAGCCAGGAAAAATCCAGACTCACTGCTGATCCCCCGCTGGATAAAAAAATACAGAGGGGAATCATTCTGGTCTCACCAGGCTAGGTCAAAGGGGCTAATGGCACATACTGTTTGTCTAGATTCTGTCAGTCTCCCCCTGTATAGACTTGGCTAATTCTGGTGCATTCACAGAAATATTTATTAACGCACAATATCCCTGTCAAATAAAGAAATGAAATAAAATAAAATAGCTGCGTAATATTTGCGTGTATTTGATGTGCTGTGGATTGATTGACGCTTGTGTCGGATCACATTAGTGCGGCCCGTAGCACTGTGTCTCTCCAGCGCTGTCAGGACGTCTTCACTAAGTGCTGTGGACAGGACAATACAAGGTGTCTGCTCAGGAATGTAGGGGAGTGCGGCGCTAAGCAGGAAAATCAAGTCGTCTCACAAACAAAACCAGCTTTTCCTCCTTCACTATCGCTCTGCTCTTTGTGTTCCAGGCCGGTGTTGAACAGAAGATAGAGGTCCGTATTCAGGAGGCAGTCAGAACTCTGGGTGAGTGTAGGTTTGTGAGTGTTGAGAAATATACAAAAATACAATCATATACATTTTATCTGCGTTAGTCTGCAGTACAGCCGCCTATACAACTTTAAACTATAAAAATGTAGTTTACAAGAGTTGGCAAAGAACATCTTCAAACAATATTTTTCTTAAAGCATTAGTACACAGCCTTCTGGAGGTGAAAATCAGCTCCATGATTCCTTGATAATGAATAATGGAACCTTCTTTTCAATTATTTTTATATACAGTATATATAGGTTTTGGGCTATTGTTGAAGATTATTGCCAAAGGAACTTCCCATGTTTTACAAACCTTACTGCTATGAACTACTAACTACATTCATTCATTCATGATCCCCTTTATTAGTCCATTTCTAGGTCTGAAGGGTTTAAAATCACAGCTGCCCAATCCTCATAGCACAAGTCCCTCGCAAGATGGCTGCTCCGTCAGCGATGACACAGCCTTGATCTTTCAGTGGGGGGTTCGGGCAAAGTGGGGTTAGGTGTCTTGCCCATGAACACGTCAGCAGCAGAAATCAGTGGAAGCAGGTCTTGTGGTGGGATCAAACCCACGACCTTCAGGCCCAAAGCCCAATGCTCTACCAACTGAGCCACTGTCACCAACGATGTTGTTTGTTGCCCTTATTATGTATTGTATTTTTTATATCCAAGAACCGCAGATAGAGAACTAGCAATTTGCTCACTCGTACCTAAAACTTTCAAATCACAAACATTTCTCTTTTTCACTACTTCATGTCACTAGTTCCTCGCTCTCAGTTTTGTTCTATCACTAGTTGTCACATGTTTTTTGGGCCCCTCTCACAGTTTTTCAGACAGAAAAGTGAAAAATAACGGACCAGCCAATCAGCTCGCAGTAAATTCTCAGCCCAAAGCGTCCAATAGTGACTCACTGGGCTTTCTCTTAGTAATCAAAGATGACAACAATAAGATGGAGACAGCATGTTGTGGACTGATGACAGACATTCATTCATTCATTCATTTTCTACCCCTTTATTAGTCCATTTCTGGGTCAGTTGGGGTAATAATCAGAGCTGCCACCCAATGCTCACAGCACCAGTCCCTCTGATCCTCCGGCAGGTGGTGGGTCCATTAGTGGTGCCACAGCCTTGGTGTTTCAGTGTCATGACAAACATAATGTGTTATTTATGGGGCAAAAGGAGGGTACCCCTGTTTTAATGTCACTGTACACTGTTCTTTAACAAAACAAAAAACAAATAATTTTAGTTTTAGAAAGATGAGTGCTTCTGTGGGTAAATTGGCAGTGAAAAGACACTGGCGACATGTGAGAAAATTGGAAATCTGGAGCACTCTTGACAGTGCATAAAATGTGTATGGTCTTCCTCTTTTCTCAAATAAATAATTAAGTCAGATTTTTCCAGATGCAAGACATGTGTTTCTGTTTGAAAAAAAAAACACACTACTACAAATAAAAAGTGACATTCTGGGGCTTTAAATCACAATGCTTTCTGTGTAATTAAAGTGCATGTTTCTGATGCACTCTGCAGATGAGCTGGTGCAGGCCGGCGAGGCGGGGACCTTCGACTTTGTTTTTATCGACGCTGACAAGATCAACTACGATACGTATTATGAGAAGTCTCTGGAGCTGATCAGGACCAAAGGGGTCATTGTTATCGACAACGTGAGCGCAGAAAACTATAATGATATTTACAGTTGTATCTTTGAAAGGGTCAATGATTTCAGTCTATGCTTTCGCTATCTCCAAAAATATCTGGCGAGATCAAGATTAAGATAGAGAGATCCTTTATTCGTCCCACAGTGAGGACATTTCTGTGTTGCATCACCGGTTACAGAACAGTGGGAATGAGGAGCACACAGCACACAATAAATGAACAAAAACTCTATACTAAACTTAAATTATATAAAATAAAATCTCTAGCTTTAGCATAATAAGGAGCAGTCTATAATCTAACAAGAAGCCAAAAATCGAGTACTACATTTCTGACATTAGCATAAAAAAGAAGCAAGTATAGAGGTTGCTTCTTTATTATGCTTTACAAGTACTGTTTAGATCTACCTCCTGATCAGACATCTACAACATTCCACTTTCGTTACTACCAGAATAAATAAATAGATTGGGAGACATTCTTTTTGCTATAGAGCCCCTGAGGACTGCAACAATCTACCAGCTTCAATAAAATCTATTTCTTCACTTACTATTGTTTAAACTGCCTTAGTTACACACCTTAAATTGCCATGTGTTTTTTTAAATCAATCAATCATTTATTTGTATTGCACAATTTGTGTTCAAGGCAAATGAAAGTGCTTCACAAAATCAATTTAAAAACACAGATCAAGATGAATTTAATAATAGTCAATTAAATATACAATCGTTCCATATTAAAAACAAAGCAGTAAAAAAGTACGAGGATTAGAATTCTAATTAAAATGTGGGTTTGAAAGGGGAGATAAACTCAATAAATAGGACAAAAAAGAATCATTTTTATGCATTGCTAAAAAGATATGTTTTCAGCCTAGTTTTGAACTTGGTCAGGGTAGAGGCCTGTCTCAGGAAGACTGTTCCATATCCTAGCTGCATGGATCTGAAACACTGCTGTTTCGTCCTGACCCTGGGCACCGGCAGGAGCAGAATGCATAAATAAATAAAAGTCATGCATCTAAAGTCACTGTGGGAGCGAATAGAGATACAAAAATTTTAAGAAAAGACACAAAGCCAAACAGATGGTATGTGCTTTCTCCTCCTGCAGGTTCTGTGGAGTGGGAAGGTTCTGAATCCTGCTGAAGACGATGTCAGCTCCAAAGCTCTAGATGCTCTGAATAAAAAGCTGCATAAGGACGAGAGGGTGGATCTGAGCATGCTCACTGTGGCCGACGGTCTGACCATCGCCATTAAACGCTAAAAGCACTTATGTAACAGGCATTAAACAACGGTCCAACACACATAATCGCTATTTTGGCACTGGTTCGGATTGAAGAGAAGGTTAAAGGCATTTCTATTTGTTAAATGTTATATTGGTGGTTCTATCTGGGCCCTGCTTGCAGCTGTTGTCAGGTTTACCCAGACAATATTTCTCATGGAGGCTGCTTGTCACGATTTAGTGCTTGGAGAATGATTAGGTACCCCCATGGTTTTGTCTTGTACATGTAGTCTCAATTCGCACTTGTAACTTGAATGTTGAAAGATTGAAAGATTTTGGCTGCAAGAGTTCTTTGTTAGACTAGTAGCAGCTGAGATGAATAAACGTTTCCACCATTGCCTGTCTAGAATATAGGGATTCAGCTTGCATGCAGCACAACATTTTGACAAGAATATGACATAAATACACTAAAACCTCTTGAAGTTCAATCTTATCTGCTTCACTTTTTCACGTAGGCCTCCTGCTCCTGTTCAAAAGGATAAACAGACTCTGGTGGACTGTTTTCCTTCAGCGTAAACGCGTTTGAGTAAAGTCTGGAAATCCTCCTGTGGATTTAAATCACACATACTGTAAGGTGGTCAACTTTAATACAAGTTTGTTTTATCTGCTGTGTTGTGAGAGGCCTGTGAGAGCTGGGGAGAGACGCAACTGTTTTAAGGGCCATGAACCCGTTAGTTGGTGATTTGAAATGATAGAAATTAAATGTTAAGTTACATCACCAGCTCCTGATCTCATTCAGAAAGTGACTTTACTGTAGTATATATATGTAGTAGTAGCACTACTACTAGTAGTAGTAGTAGTAGTAATAGTAGTAGTAATAGTAGTAATAGTAGTAGTAGTAGTAGTAATAGTAGTAGTAGTAGTAGTAGTAGTAGTAGTAGTAGTAGTGAAACTACTAGTGTTACTTACAAAAGACTTACAAACAATCTGAAATTTCCCACTGTGGGACGAATAAAGATCTCTTAATCTGTTTAATAATCTAATCTGTTACCATCACAGCATATTAAAATAAAGTAAGTCATCTTTATTCGTATAGCACATTTCACAGACAAAGGTCACACAAAGTGCGTACAATATTCTTGTTGTACCAGTAATTCCCATCCTAAGTGCACATATGCATTTGTTTTATCATGTTAATGTAATTAAATGTGACTAAAACAGCAGAATTATTTGGAAAATAATAACATCACTTGAACTCTTAACTCGAAGTGAAAACTCCCGTTACACCTGAAGTCGGTATGTTGTAGAATAAACAATGCAGTGTCATTTTAAACCCAGTCACTAATATATATAACTTATTAAATGTGAGTAAAGGTATATTTGAATAAAACTGATAGTAAAGTCATTAAGTTTATCTGGGAATTTGCAGAATTCTATTAATTTGAATGGTAGCAGTAAAAATGACGACTCTGAAGTTCTCGTCGTTTCAAAATTCTCGGGGTCTTATGGTGTTATTGATAAATGCATCATTTTCTTCACTCATTTGTGAATGGCGTTATCACTGGAGTCCACAGATTTGAGAGCAATCCCAAGATTAACCCTCATGTCCAGTACATAAACAACTGCTATTGATCCATGTATGTCGACACAGCTCGTGCCAGTGCGTCAGAGCGCGCGCGGCGTCAGCACCTCGGACAGCGACCGTATGTGCTGTGTGAGCGGATAGTGGGTCCTATAAAGAGCTCCCCCGGGTTCATTCTCCAACCGGATCTCACGCAAAAACACAACACTGACATCATGGACACCGTAAAATCACCGCATAGGAGACTCGATCTGCAGCGTCAGAGCAATCGCGCGGGAACGAACGCAGGTTTGGGGCTCACTGCATCCACCTCCACCACCACCACCGGGGAAATGAACGAAAAGGACTCTCTTCGATGTTTGAACGGACGCCTTGCCGGGTTTATAGACAAGGTGCATCGGTTGGAACAGCACAACCGCCTGCTGGAGAAGGAGATCGAGGAGATAAAGGGGAGAGCGCAGTGCGTGGCGTCTTTGGAGGAGGAATACGGCCCGGAACTGCGGCGGCTGAGGCACTTTGTCCGGGAAATCACTCAGCAAAAGCATCACATTGAGCTGGAGCACTGCAATCTGGAGGAGGAGCTGGCGGAGTTGAGAAAGCGCCACGAGAAAGAGGCGAAGGGCAGGTCAGACGCCGAGCGCGACATCACAGCCATAAAGAGAGACATCGACGGTGCATATAGAGCCAAACTTCAGCTGGACCAGAAAGCCAAGGTGTTAGTGGAGGAACTGCAAGGTCTGAAAGCGAGTCATGAGGTGGACGTGTCTGGGATGCTTGAGCAGATGCAGGAGGCTGAGGATGGGTGCAGAGCGCGGGAGTTTGGGACCCCCGGAGTCACTGCAGCACTACGGGATATCAGGGAACAACTGGAGAGCCATGTGGGCAGTGACGCGCGGCTGCTGGAGGAAAGCTTCACGTCCCAGTTTGCAAAGTTGACGCAGGCGGCTGAGAGTAAGAGGGAATGTCTCAAGGCGAGTCAGCATGAGATCGGTGATTACAGGAGGCAGCTGCAGGCCAGGGATGTGGAGCTGGAGAGCGCGAAAGGCACGAGAGAAGCGCTGGAAAAGCAACTGAGGGCAGCGGAGGAGAGACACAAGCTCGATCTGCTGCAGTACCAGGTGAGCGCTTATGGTCTATGGTAAACACGCACGCTATAGTGGGTTCTGGCGAGCAGAGGTACCGTTGCAAAAGTACCGTAGTTTGAGGTATTTAAGTGCCCAGTCCCATGTAAAGTGGGTTCTTGTCTGCAGAGTTGTCAAAAGTACTAGCTTAAGATCTTCCTGAAAATGTGAGACAGGCTTCTTCTCTGACAATGTTCAACCCCAGGCTAAAAATAGTTATGTTCAGCTGTGAATACAACTGAAGGAATGTATCTTCACTGTTTTCAATGTGCTGTGATTATTTATGGTTTGAATGTCTGTTTCTATCTTGTTTGTTACCCACTTGTGTCTGTGCTATTCAAATAAACGTGCCTTGCCTTGCCTTTAAGTGCCCAATATCAGGTAAAGTGGGTTATTATATGAGCCGACGTGGCAAAAGTACTAGTTTAAGGCATTAATTTTATGATTAATATAAATAATTGCATTAACTTAGAAGCATGGCTAACTTTAAATGAAGAAGTGTAAAGTACATGTAGGAGCCACATATTATCGTATTGCCTACAGTTTGGACCTTTTACGCCGCAATAGGTCAGATATCTGTATTTAAAAGTAGGAGTCAAAGTAAAATGTTCTCACTAAAATAAGTTTTAAAGTAAATTACTGATACCAGGTAAAACTGCTTATGTAAACATACTTACAGTAGTTACTTGCCACCTCTGATGATGAGAGCAGATGATGCCCAGACTAAAGATTCATATTTTGTCTTCTGCCCCAGGACACCGTGAAACAACTGGAAAACGAGCTCATCAATTGTAAATTCGACATGTCTGGTTACCTGAGGGAATACCAAGACCTGTTAAATGTGAAGATGGCTCTGGATGTGGAAATACTGTCCTACAGGTACGACTCAGACTAACACACAACGCTGCTATTTCACTTTCACATCTTAAATGTACATTTCCTCAAGATATTTGACCGAGTGAGGGTTGTCATCTCCTTTTCACCTTTGGTTCTATCACTTCTTTTCTCATGTATTTCAGATTTTAATACAAACTTATGCAGTTTGTATAAACTAAAAACATGTTTAAAAACTCTGCATGTGATGAGTGTGTAGCTAAGCTTGGTGGTTATGTGTGGAGTGAAAGAAGATTGGGGGACGGGTAGTTTTGTTAAAACTTATATGTTAAACAGAAATGAGAATTTTATTATATCTTTAACATGTTAATATAAATGTAAAATTAAATTATATTTCTTGTCCAAAAATGCATGGCCATATATGCATCTATACTTTTGTTTCACTGTGACAACAATCTTCTCAAGGACAGCAGGTGTAAATTAGCACTCCTGCACTCCAATAGCCTTGTACATTGCCTCCCTCTTGAGATTATGAATGAATCTGAGATAAGCTTTTCCAGAGAAGGACAAAAGTGAGTACCACCTGCTTTCAACCAATCAGCTCTCATCCCCATGGTGGCCGAGTGGTTAGCAGTCCTAGGTTCGAATCCCGATCGAGACAGGGCCTTTCTGAGTGATGTTTGAATGTTCTGTGTCTCCTCCGGATTTTCCTCTGGGTGCTCTGGTGTTTCCTACCACTTAAATCATGTACAATAGGCAACATTCTCCAGCTCTGATCGTAGAGATTGCAAAGATTGTATTAGGCCCTAGTGGCATTACATGATGGGTCAAATTCAGAGGACACATTTCCCAATGGAGACAATAAAGTAAGCAGTAAGTAAGCTTTTATTTATATACCGCCTTTTCACTGCACATCAGAGTCTCAAAGCGGTTTACAATTGTTGGGTGGGGTGCCAGTACAGGAGGCGCATGCCATACCTATTGTACATATTTTTAGTGGTAGGGGAAACCGGAGCACCCGGAGGAAACCTACGCAGACACGGGGAGAACATGCAAACTCCACTCAGAAAGGCCCTGGTCCAACCGGGATTCGAACCCAGGACCTTCTTGCTGAGAGGCGAGAGTGCTATCCACTCAGCCACCGTGCCGCCCGTGCCGCCAATAAAGCAAAGATTAAGTGTCAAAATCTATCATGTATTATTTTCCCTTATTGTTTTGTAGAAAGCTTCTGTGTGGAGAGGAAGCCCGCCTCTCCTCGGTGACGGACAGCCCCTTCTCTCTGCCCTACATCTACCACCAGTCTCCAGTCTACACCCTGCCCTCCGTGAACCGGCCGGGGGGCCCGCGCCGCAGACCTGAGCCGCAGTACAAGTTTGTGGAGGAGATCATCACGGAGACCACGCGGGAGATCTTCTTGTCTGACTTTGAAGGGCCCTCGGAGACTGTGGCGTTGCCAGATCCACCGTGTAGCAAAAGAGGGAGCCCAGAAGAAGACGGTAGTAAAGACAGTGGACAGGACGGTGATAAGCAGGAGCGTGACGGTCAGCAGGATGACATAGAGGAGGGGTCTATTGTGCAGAATGGGAATGAAGAAAAAGGTGATAGATTTGCAGGAGAAATTAAAAACATGCAGAATATTGAAGAAGTCAGTGCACAGGAGAAGCATGATTTGAATGATGAGAGAAATGTTTCAGATGGAAGTAATATGTCCCCGGGTAAGGTAAGGTAGGAAACAAGAGGGGGTGGGGTTTATACAGGAGATTAAAAGTAGTGTAGCAGCAAGAGTTCAAGTGAAAGAAAGAATGAGGATAGGCATCATTTAGAAACGGGACATGAAATAATGCAACTCTCATTTTGAGCTCTACGGCAAATATTAGCACATTGCTGCAAAAAGCACATTTGTGTGGTCATAGCGCCACCAGAGTGGGCTTCTAGAGAGGCCTGTGATCTATGCAAGGTAGAACACTGAAAGACTTTAACGACTGACGACTCATGACATCGGCTTCTAACTAGAAAAAAGTATAATTGAACAGAGATAGAATGTGCATGATAAAACTGTAGTAAAGCTTGCCAATAAAAAAGGATGGTCTGTGAAATCACCCACTACATTCTTTTCATTATAGTTCTAGTATTTCTTCACAATAAACATGAAAGTTATTTTCAAATGCAACCGTGGGTTTGAAGTCATGCTAAAAAGGCCTTTGATATTTGGCCACATTTCAGGTCATAAATACATTTTGCTTTCATTCATTGTTAGTGGTTATTTGAAGTCATTCTCAAATTTGTGTTGTATTTGTGATGGTTGTTGCTGAAGTTCAAGACACTGTACATTTCACCTCTCTACAGATGGAGTTAAGATTAAGGATTTCCTAAGTATGTACTAAACATTTAGTGTAATTTATAACTTTCAGCCATATTTTTATTAAACCACTTTTTTTGCTCAAAATAAACATCAGCCGACTCGATGTTCTGCAACAGTACTGTGATGGGATACCTCTGGAAACACCAGGTGCCAGTGGCTGTAAAGTGCCAAACTGTTGTGTCCTTGAGCTTAACACTTCACCCACATTGCCTAGAATGAGTCTGGTGTGTGAAGGATAGTGGTGGTCCAAGGGTCTAATGGCTAATGCTTGCCATGTGTCTATCAGTGTACCCCGGGGCAGCTGTGGCTACAGTAGTTCATCACCAGTGTATGGAGTGAAAGAAAGACGACATGTAAAGTGTCTGAGTGTCCAAAAAGGCGATGCATTATTATTATGCAAGAGCGTTCCTATGAGTTACAGGCATATCAACATACTTTATGTAAATCACCAGACAGCAGTTCATTCCAAGACTTTATTGGAACTTTATACAGAAGGACCTCCAAGACACAGAGGGTGCTGACTGCACCTTTAGTGCAGAGCTCAGAAGCCTTAGACTCCCTTTACAAACATTTGGCATTGCTGTGTACAATGACGTATTCCCACTGTGTGAAAGAACAGTTCTGCTGCAACAGCCAAGGCGTCTCCCAGACCCTCTGAGGAAGCTTTGAGCTCGCTCCAGAAACTAGTTTGAGGAGAGGTCAGCAAGGAGCAGATCATGACCCCGTGGCTGACAAACAGAACACTACACAAAGACAAGGGCAAAGTAATAATATACTTGATTAATGCTGCCGACAAGACGGGAATATCAGATGTCATGGTTGGAGGCAACAGAATGCATAATTAGACTGCAAACAAAATTAAAAATGCTTGAAAATTCCAATAAATAAGACAAATCTGCTGATGACAGGGAAAATATTCGTCAAGTTTTTGGTGAGGTTTGACACGATTCATAAATAAACCGATTCCAAAGTGAAATCTGAGAGTTCAGACACAGACTAAAAGTGTAACAATTATTGGAGCTGGAGCCTTGAACACTCAACATCTCTTGCTGGTTGAAGTTGGAAATACTTAAGGCCAGATTCTGATATTCCCTAGTCCCTATAGTTCAGCTCGTGACTCTAGGCCTCCAGCTCCAGGCCCAGGCCCAGCTTGTGTCCTCCGGCGTTGATGTTCTTTCCATCCACCAGGGCTGACAGGGTGAGCTTCACACCTGAACACACGAGGAAGTCACCATCAAAAAGGGTACAAAAACTGACATTTTTACAGAAATGTATAAGCACAAATAAGCAATTATTCTTCGAGTTGAATCTACTGCACTGAAAAAGGTGACCAATCTTTGAGGATTTTAATGTTGCCAGTGTAAATATTGTTAGGTTAAGGTTAGGCGTTTAGGCTTTTCCATGGCTTATAAATATATCCAAGTTAAAAATGTTAATCTTTAAATAATTAGATACTTTTACCACAAGGGGAAACTCAGACCATCAGTATCCAATGTGTGCATTGGATACACAATAGATACAACTTTCTGATAAGTAAAATCTAGTTAACAAAATTAACAGCTTATTACAGAGACTAAAACATGAAAGTGCAGAGATGGGATTTAGGGGCATTTTTACACTGTGGGTATGTTACTGCACTTCCTGGGTTGGCTTGAGTCTGCACTAGATTTAAGTAATTTTTTGTTTCAATTCTGTCCACGAATGCTACTCTTTATTCACTCAAACCCCACACTATAAGCATGTCAGAAGAGATCAGCTGACAGCAAAACTAATGTTTCCCAAGTGAACACACAAATCTGGAAATCTCTTCATGCAGCCACACGGACCCACACTGGTTACAGTTTACGAACCACACACAAATCTTAATGTGCACAAAGCTGCAGTTGTCTCTGATCAGCAACCAACACATAACGATGTGTCTTTTACAGAGCTCCTCCATATTCTGCCACTTCATTATATACTTGTAGCTAAACTTGTCTCAAGAGAAAAATCACTTTGTAAAGAGGCTGCGTGCTGATGCAAAAAAAAATCCATGGGGTTCCACCAGAGTGCATCAGAATCTTTAAAACTTCATCTTTTTATGGAACATGGTTGCAACTCTAGCAATTAACATTTAAAACTTTTATAAAATCACCGTTGTAAAATCCACAGCCCCTTGACGTTGACCACATTCACACCACACTCACACAGAGACAGACAGCAGTTGTGGCGACTGACACCACCTCTTTCAGGAGCTCTTAGATCCTTGATTGAGTCCTAAATGCAGCGGTCATGTCACAGCCTAGACGCGCTGCACAGCTCCTTCACAAACTGCCACTGATCACCATAAACACCTTAAACACAGCCAGACCTGTACATTTCCGGTGTCCATAACACTTGCACAGGAAATGCAAAAGTCTAAAATTGTCTTTAAATGTAATTGAAAGCTACTAGTATCACCCCGAGAAACATCAAATTGTGTTCTGGCCAATGTATTGATTAAAAGTGAAATCTGGTCTCATGGCCAGTGGTCCGCTGTGATTGGTCACAATCTGGGCACAAAAACTATCTAAAAAAAAAAAATTACCCTCCAGTACAAACCTGCGCTACTTATTCTTCAAAAGGACGCATAACCCAATGCACTGCATGGATATGGATTGAATTTTCTTAATTAATAAAAAAATTAAGTGAGGTAGCCCAGCTTTAAGGTACAGACAAAACAGTTTCAGCTTGTACTGTACCATTTTCTGAAATATAACTAAATAAAACTGTAAAATCATGTACAATAGTTTACCTGAGTTTACCAGAGAGTTTAAAATGGCAAAATTGTTCCATACCTGATCTGAGAGACTGAGTGTAGCCAACACCAACCAGGCTATTGTTGTTCACTTTAGCCTAGAAAAAGAAAAGCCAGTTTTTCAACAGTATAATTACATGGTGCTGCCCCCCTCCCTTCCCCCTCTACATACATTGATGGAGGCATCCTTGTCCAATTGGTATTTAGCTGCAATACCAAAGCGAGTGCTGTTGCTCCCTGCGGTCCATGACAGGCTGACTGCCGTCTCCAGAGTATCGTTCACCTTCTGGTAGATTGAGCCACCAAACTCTGCTCCATCGTTGCTGTGTCAAACAAAGGCAAAGATCACACAAGTGTACGCGTTTAACGTCAAATTAAAAAAGGCCAGAAAGGTACGGTCCAGTACTATTAGGAGAGATTCAAAATAATGTAAAATAAAACATTTTACCAGATAAGGCATAAGTCATAGTCACAGTAGTGAACGTGTCAGTTTGTGTTAGGAATGTGGCACAGTAGCATAACTTTCCTGTGCTGCCACAGTATCATTATCTATCTAACTATCCATCTATGAAGTTAGATCTGCATCAGATAAGCAAAGAAGGCTTTAAAAAAATAAAGAGATCACAGAATAAAATCACAGACTGCTACAGATTCACAGAGGAGCGATTGATTTTAATCCAGTCTAAGCACAGTCTGTGCAATCTGGATAAGCCGGACCAGTTTATCTTTTATTTAAGGTGGCAATGTATGTAAAATGGATTAACTCAATTGGACTGTCCTATATAAGCAGTTGCCTGTGATCTCAAAAACTGCACTGGTACGTGTTCTGATCAGCTATGGCCAGATATTGAAAGGAAAGTTATGCGATGAATCAGTGCATCCTAATGTGAGGTAAAGCAGTGGTTGTTGGAGCCCTTCAGTAGCCGCCCCTAAAACAACTGTTGGAAAGAAGGAATACATTATAAATGTTCCTTTATGATGCGTGCAGGTAAAGAAGCACTGAGGAACACAACAGCATACTCGTAGCAGCTCGCGTTCTAACAGATAAGAACGTTAAGTCTTGTTGGTTCCTGTATGAAATGTGCTATACAAATAAATCATTCATATTTACTCAGTTAAAAACCTAGTTCATTTCTTTAATTGCATTAGTTGGTCTAATATGCATTATATCAAAAAGATGTGGGTGTCAATGCAGTTTAAACATTGTTTAATATTACTTACACATTGGTGTGGAGTTGGAAGTCGCCCGTCTTGTAACCAATGGCAAAGTTGTTCTGGCTCATTTTGGACTTGGCTGTATCAAAGGTCATTTGGTAACCAGCTAACCAGCCCTCGTAGCCAACAACAGCTGCACCATGGATGGTGGGTCCCGCAAAGTCAAAGTCGACATCACAGCCCAGGTTAACATACTCGCGCTTGTATGCAGTCTTCACTTTGCCGCTCTTTTTGCTGTAAACAGAGGATTATAGAGTAGTGTAAAATCACTGCTTAGGGAATAGCACAAGTTTACTGGTGTGAAACTTGAATGTTATTCTTCAAAGACATAACAAGGAGACTGGCCACAAACTAGTTCCATATTGGGACACGCTCATGGCCAGTCACTACACTTGTCAGGACCATGTGCAACAGAGCTCATGTTACCAGTATTACTCAGATGGAAGCAAAGGAGCTGGCCCATGACCAGAAATGCATATGGCTTAGTCATGATTTAATGCAGCACACTAACCCGGTGTTGGGTGCAAAGGTGGTGTCAAAAGTCAGCTTCAGTCCTTTAGCAATCTGTCACAAAAATGACACATTTAATTCAATCTCTTGCACTTTCCATTAACAGTCTTTATTTAAAAGTGAATTGCACTCTAACCTGATCTTCGATTGTGATCTCTGTTCCCAAAGTGTTGTCAGTGTTCCACTTCTCGGTGAAGGTCAAACCATATTCTGCTCTCTTGTATTTTGTTTCCAGGGTGCCAGCCACTTTGCTGGTATCAGTGTTTGAGGAACCAGATGTTTTAAATTCCTGCAAGAGAATTTTAAGTTAAGACTTTTGCTAATTTTCTATGAGCATTGAATTAGTTCAAAATGGCAAAAGAACATAGTTTAACTGTTGTCAGAAAACCAACTGTGTAAAACATCTACAAGTTTGTTATGAACACAAAATGACATTACCACTCCACTTGCAGACTTGGTCTTGACATCGAGCTTCACCAAGCCAAAGCCTAATGGAACAAAACATTAGTAGAAAGTGAACACTTCTATGTTCATATTTTTCAGCAGTACCATAGCCTTTGTTGAAGATGTCCTTGGCAGCCTTTCCCAGGTCAGCATATGTAGGAGGCACTGCCATTGTATCTGAAACAACCACACAAGAGTTGAGCATCATGCCAAAAAGTTGTACATGAGAAGAATCAAAATTGTCTGAGCTGTGAGAGCATAGAGTTAAATATCAGAACTATTTGAAATAATGTGAGTGAGAGCTTCAGTCAAGAGAAAGGTTACTGTGAGGAGCCATTTTGCCGCAGCTCCTGAAGCTTTGCCCTGACAGTTATTAGCCCGTTTCTCCACATGAGGTGGTTGGTAAAGCCAGGCGTGGCATCTGCCTGCCCTCATTACTCAAATGTGTTGATTACCAATCCAATTGTACAAGGAGAAAACATGCGCCATTCAATTCTGGACTCAGACAGACGAGGCACAGTTAGACAGAATCTCACAACACAACATCTAATAAACACACTTTCCTACACTTGTGGATGTTTTCGTGTCGATATTTGCACATGTGACAGAGTGCACGCTGAGCTGCGCTAAGCTAACGATGCTAAAGTGCATGCTACCGGCGCCGGTCCCGCACACAGAGGCTTTGCCCGCTCTGTAGAGTGCTGTCACGGGCACCACGTCCACACAGAAGGCCCTTACCAGAGTCAAACGGAGCTCACAGTGCACTGAAGTGACTTTGAAACTGAGGGACCTCACACCACACGGCAGTGGTAGGCGTCACCGGTTGGAGGGCGAGCTGAAGGAGACTGCACTGCGCTGCTTCGCTCAGGGATCACACTGAAGGACCAGGCAGGGCCAAGGACATGCCTGAGCGAAAAGATTTAAAGACACAAGCAAAGTACTGCTGAGGCCCTTCTGCGTGTTACCTTTAAAGTCAAGGGCAGTGTTGCAATGGTAACATTGTTCCTTGAAACTGTCCCTGTCGTTTTATCAGCTTTTAGTTGTGTTATGAATTCTCAGCGTTTGTCTATATGTCGTCATTATTTTTTGAAATTATGATTATTTTTTTGAAATGTAACAGCCATACCTTTTAACCTTGCTAAAATTAATTTTCTGTTGCTTTCATACATTCTTAAAAGGGCAGTTGAAGCCTCCTTTCAAGGTGTTGGTTCTGAACTGTCCTGGACTGGTTTTGGACTGAGCTTGGTCAATCATCATGTCACTGCATGTAATATGTACTATGGTGTGGTAGGACCAGGCTAGGTCTTCTGTCAGAGAAAAGCAAATGGTACTTTGCAACACACTGTTTACTTGTCTTTTGTTGCTCAGTCGGGCATTACCCTGTTTTTTTTATTTCAAGTTTTAGTCACTTTTTAGCACTTATAAAAAGTCAGTGAAGGTAAAGGAAAACAGTCATTTTCACTAGATCTGGTGGAACAATTATAATAAAATAGTGTGTGAATGTTCTCTTTTGGTTACAAGTAACACACCACTTCAACACAAACTTACTATTACTGAAATTAGAATTAAAATTGAATTGAATATGATATTGTTGGTTTTTATTATGACTGAATTTGGATTTTTTTCAGCGCCATCTTCTGCTGAGCTTTCTCCATCCCTCAGTCACTTGTTCTGGGCTCATCTGGAAACATCCATCCATTTTCTTCCACTTTATCCCGGGGCGGGTCACAGAGGCAGAAGTCTGAGTGGCCCAGACTTCCCTCTTCACACAAACTTCCTGCAGCTGGATGAGGCGTTTCCAGGCCAGCTCCAGACTCAGCTCCCTCTTCACCACAACAGTCCCATACAGAGGCAGCATCACTGCAGACGCTGCTCCTTCTCTCGCAGTGAACAAGACCAGAGACACTTGAACTCCACCGCTGGAGGAAGGAGCTCTCAGCCACCTGGAGAGGGTAAGACATCTGCCTCCGGTCCAGAACCCTGGCCTTGTAATCAGAGGATCTGAGTTTCATTGGAGCCGCTTCTCCCTCGACTGCACACCGTCCCAGTCAGGCGCTCTCATTTGCAGATTTGTTTTGGTCAGTTTCTCCGTTAGGCTCACAGGCCCACCTGCTCCTCGGCGCCTGCAGTCACAATTAAACAGAAGAATGGTATTGTTGAAATGTTTTTGTAAATCTTCATACAGATTTGCTGGAGGTACTTCACTCTCACCTCTGTTGGAGCTTCTCCTTGTTCCGGCGGCTCTCAGCAGACATGGCTCTGATCTTATGTACACTGGAACACTGGTGGGCTGTGGTCAGGAGCAGGGGATGTGGCTCTCTGGTGCTGAGCGCTGGTGGAGGCCCCACTACATCTGACAACAAAGGGGCAGTTGAAAAGAGCATTGACTGTATTGTTGCTGGTTGGAGTATGCAACAGAACTGTGCCAAATCCACTCCTCTCCTCACCTCAAATGGTTCTTTTTGATGTGAAGGAGCAGCGGCTCTAGTCAGAATCAAACTCACCTAGAGCCTTGTATCTGCTATCTTGTCCTTTGGGCCATTTTCCAAAGCTCATGATATGACCATACACAGAGCAGTAAATCTAGAGCTCTGACTGTAGACGCTGCTCCCTCAGCGCCTGCATGTCACAATAAAACAGGAGAATGATAGTATTGTCATCTTGTTGCAAATCCCCCGTCTTCTGGAGTCCTCCCTCAGGTTTCCTCCCTGAACAAAACCAATGTGTTTTAAGAGCACAGTTCAGAAGAGCAGCAGGACACAAACTGAAGGCCTCTCACGTGGGATGAGTCTGGTCTCTTTGTGGCCGCACTTGTTCCTTTCTTCCCCTGAAGTGGACAGCAGCATCCACAGGTCACTCTCACAAGAATAGATCCTACATTTGGTCAAATACATGTTTGGTGTCACTTACATTCTAATGAACACTGAACACTCTGCATCTCCGATATTGACTTACGAACGTTTGGATGTGTGTTCTTTGGACTACACGTGGCTGCAGCTGGAAGTACAACAGTCATTGCAGTTTTAGAAAACCATAACTTTTCCAACACTGAGCTTGAGTTCCTGTCATGAAAACAAGTTCATTCATGCAAGTAACAATATGTCTGCATTCCACTGTGGGTCCTAAATGGACCCTAAGAGTCCAGCTCACCAGACACGTGTCCATGTCATTGGTCCAGCGTCAGAATGGCCTCTCACTGTGTAGGGCCAGGATCAGGGTGGTCTCTAGTGGTGCTTCACTGCAGTAGTGTGGTTGATACCATGGACAGCTCCATCCATCTGTGAACTATGGGAGCAGACAGAGCCTTTCATTCATAAGTTCACTACTTATTTGAAGATGACTCACCAAGACATGATAGATGCAGCGGACTCCTGTCTCCAACTGGAACACAAAACTGGAAACAAGACATCTGAAGACATCTTTGATAATGACACAATGACTTTAACACAAACTCCTATCTCATGTGGTGATGTGTATGTGTTTTTCAGTGCTGTCAAAGCTGGCAGTGCCTTGTCTCTGTCCTCAGCCCAAACGAATGCACATGTCTTACCTTTGGCCGAGGAATCTAAAACCACGGCTTCCAAAGCCCTGTTGAAGGCTCTACATGTACATTCACACAAGGGCACATGGACTTAAGACCTACTCTTTGTCAATGGTTTTGACAGACTGTTTAATACTGTCAAATATGATGTATGTATGTGAGGAAATGAAAGAGAGACATTGTACTTTTATTATTGTATTCATGAAGGTTTTAAAGTGACTGTAGAAAAGCCCACAGGGACAGAACGTTGTAAAGTAGCATTTTCCTTAAAGTCTGCATGCATAACAACGTCAGTTAAGTTTGGTAAATGTGTCTGGCGACATTGTCCATGTCAAACAAAAAACAAATAAAATGAATAATAAAATAAATGAAATAAAACAGAAAAATACAAATAAAATGAAAATACTTTAGTCATGTAGTTGGGGATCATAGTTTGGAGACCACAAGATTTCCTTTGTTGTCCTATTGGCTCCAAACAAACCAGGACTTTCAACATGCACTGGGAAGTCAAGAGTGAAGCGGCTGAGATAAAGTACAGCACCTCCAAACATGAGGCCATGGTGCTCGATCGGAAAAAGGTGCCTCTCCAGGTGCAGAGGTCCTTCCTCCAGTAGAGTAGTTCAAGTACCTCCGGGTCTTGTTCACGAGTGAGCTTCTCGTGAAAACCTCTGGTCACCAGCTTTGGGTCATGACCGAAAGGACGAGATCTCAGATACAAGTGGTGAAATGAGTTTCCTCTGTGTCCCTCCCTTAGAAAGAGGGTGAGGAGCTCAGTCACTCGGCAGGAGCTCAGAGTAGAGCCGCTACTTCTACACGTCAAGAGGAGCCAGTTGAGGTGGCTCGGGCATCTGTTTCAGATGCCTCCTGGACGCCTCCCTGAGGAGGTGTTCAGAGCATGTCCCACTGGGAGGAGACCCAGGGGAAGACCCAAGACACACTGTAGGGACTATGTCTCTCAGCTAGCCCCCGGGATTCCCCTAGATCAGCCATTCCCAAACTCAGTAACACCGAGGCCCCCTTAAAAATCTGACGGGTCTGCGTGGCCCCCCAAAATAATAACCAAGAAGACAACATTAAGAATAGGCTCTTCTGGTTATTTTATTTTGCGGAAATAGCCTCTGCTACAAACATTGTAATACAAAAATGATTACAGTGGATTATTCAAGTCAAATAATGAACACAAATATTTTAATATTACAAACAAAACATTATAAATTTAACATTAAATAATTATATTATTTTTTTTATGACCTCCCGCGGCCCCCCTGCAGTACCCTCGCGGCCCACCAGGGGGCCGCGGACCCCACTTTGGGAGACACTGCCCTAGATGAGCTGGAGGAAGTGTGTGTGGATCGGGAGGTCCGGGCGTCTGTGTTTAGACAGTTGCCCTCGCAACCCAGCAACGGATAAAGCAGAATCTTTGGAAGGAGGAGGGATCACACCACCAACTCTGTAGATGGCACTCCACCTCCTCTCCTGCTGATCCTCCTCAGCTCTAGAGCAGGGGCGGCCAAACGTTCAATCTGTGGCCAAAACTATATTGGTGGGCAGAGGGCCAAAGATAAATATGTGTTGCACCGAAAGGAATGACTTAACTGTCCTTAAAGATTGTCAGACTGGTTTTGACCAATGTCCTCACCGCTTCATGGGCCATATTAGACCCTCAAAGGGACCGATGTGGCCCACGGGCCCCAGCTTGGGCATCCCTGCTCTAGAGTGAACACAAGGCCAGGCGTACTATGCAGGAAACCACACTAGAGTCAGCGTAAGCTCTTATTTATCCATTCTCAAATGTAATCAAGTCATTGTGTCATTTTACAGAGTGGCTTTTTCTGTCAAAGTTGATCTGTGTCTAATACGTTCCTACATACTATTCCTGTCCTTTGATTTAAAAAAGCACATCAAAACAGTGGGTATCGCACCGGCAACCATCAATAAATCAATCAACAAACTTTATTTACATAAAGTTCAAAGGGCTGGTTATTGGGCGACTCCCCACAGGAGAAGACAAAGAGTACTATGGAGGACAGAGTGAGACCTCTGCTCACATGAGGATCATCTGTGGACTTACTGCTCATGCTCAATGTGCTTCTGCTCTGGAGACTGCTCAGGAAGTTTATGGAAGTCCTACATAGTTGTCTTTGCCTTCTCCTCTTTCGAAACAAACTAACACTGATACTAGAACAAGGGTCTTAAACCTATAGTGCGGAGCGACCAGTGGCTCTCCAGGCCTTTCAAAGTATCCTCTGAAAGGGTTTATCTACAAGTGTCTTTCATCACTGTAACTACTCAGTATTCATCCTTTTGCGTTCTAATGAATACAATACAAATGAATACAAGGTTTATGTTGGATACACATAATTATCAAAAGGCTGAAAACCCTTGTGCTAGGTGAATTATTTTTTTGTTTTTGTTTTTGGCTTAATGGCAACATTTTGTCCAATGAATAAATCAAGAAAGAAATAAATGTGCAGAGGAGAAATGGGCTGCTGATGGTGGAGCGTGTGTCCCATGTGAAGCACTTTGTGACCTCCTCTGCACATGTGTCACAGTGCCGTAGAAATAGGCGTGGCCTTCTCTCCTCCTCTCCTCCAGGGGCTGTTGTCTCCAGTCTCAGGCTGAGCTTCAGTCAGAGTCGGAGTCTTGGAGCCGGGGGGGCTGCTGGAAGAAATGGACGAAGCCCCCGGACGTCCCAGCAGAGATGGAGGGGGTGGGCTCCTCCTCGATGTCCTCAGAGTAGGAGAAGCGTGGCCTCTTGGAGATGGGCTCTTCCTCTTCATCTCCATCCCTGTGGCGCCTGGAGCCCCCTGGACGACGCTCCTCTTCAAAGAAGGGACAGGGCGCAGGAGGAGGGCTAGCTGCTCGCTGCCCGCGGCTGAGGAACCTCCACAGCTGGACCAGGGGGGTCCCACAGGAGCAGGCCTCTGGAGGAAGACGCGGGTCTTCCTCCTCACCCTCCGTGTCCTCGTCTTCCTCTTCGCTGACGTCCTCCTCTGAGAGACTGTCGTAGCCAGAGTCTACTTCATCCTCTTCATCAGAAACCTCATCCTCTTCATCAGAAGCCTCTTCCAAGCCTCGCCCATGCATGACGACAAAATACCTACCTACCGGCGACTCACCTGCGTCCTCCTCGTCTGACGAGAAGTCAGGGTCCTCCAGAGCGTCCAGAGGGTCCCGAACCGCTGAAACATATGGACAACATCAACTTCCTCACACACTAAAGTGCTCTTGCTTTGTCAAATTCACAAGTCAAACACAATCAAACTTTTTTGTCTTCATCATGAAGACAAAAGAGCTGGAAAGCACCAGAGGCGTTTGGATAACAAGGACATTTTCTCTGTTCAAAAAAAGTATTTGAGTGGACTATTATCGTACATTAAATATAGTACATTATCTAGACTTAGTGCAGTATTAGCTGATCCCAGTGAGCTCAGTGGGCCTTCTCTAGCACTACAGTGCATCTGACAGTGTACAGGCACCACTCTTACCACCATCATTGAGGAACACTCAGATTTAAACCTGTGTACAGCGTCTCCAGCAACATCTAATGCGCCTCCATGTTTAGCTACAGGTCAACTGTGACTGTGCTCATGAACCTGTAAGACGCTGATGCATGTTGACGCCCACAAACACGTGTCACTTTACAGCCTTCCTGATCAACTTGTGCCATTATCAGCAGCTGTTTTGACATGTTACCAAACGAAAAGAGAAAAGTCCAGCTTCTGTAATGAAGCACTTCCATACAGTAGCCCAGCGCACATGCTAGCTAGCTCTTCACACAAACACGTGGCTCATTGAAACAGCCACACAACTGTTCACGTAGCGTTATGTTCGTTTATTCGATGAGTGTTTTATTATCATTTTAGTGATTACCTCCAGGGACCAGGGGCAGAAAGTCCGGGGCGTGGGAGGGGCGAGCCATCCTTCACAAGGTGTTGTTCAAAGAAGTTTTCAGACCTAGAAAAGTGTCAACAACTGGTTTTGCACAGTGTATTAGTGCCTCAGTGTTAATTCCACCGCTTTATCCTCAAACGCAAATGAGACGAAGAGAGTTCACAGTTCAACACAAGCGTCAGAGACCAACAGCAAGTGAAGTGAGCGTGCAGCAGTTTGAATATATACAACTTACGTCTCCGTGACAACGACGCACCCACAGGTTATTAAACGTGATTATTGAATAGAAAGAGAAAGGTTTTTTGTTTCGGCCCAGTGATCACAGATGTGGGCTTTGGGGCGCCCTCTATAGGCTACAATGTTTATTGAGGAAACAAGAATACATTACAAGTACATAGAAAATAAAACATTGCCACGTTTATCACATACTGATTCATCAACTTGTTGCTTGAAACATATTTTGCTATAAATAAGTCAATGTTTTTAAATACAGAAATATATTTCTTCTAGTCCTGCACCGGACCTGACCAGGTTCTGCGGTCGCTGCAGGAGGGTCTGTTGGGCAGTTTGTGTCTAACAAGAAGGACTGTGGTGATGATCCAGGACACTTTAACATTCTACAACATGTATGGACATTTATCAACTTGTGTTCTATATTCTTTATGTGTTCTGTGTTGGTGCTTTCAATGGTTTTGTTAAGTCCTCTGAGATGACTTCTGTTTTGATTTAGGGCTATACAAGAATAATGAGTCCCAGCAGTCCCTTTACTCCTCAGAGTCCCTGCAGGAGGCCAGTCCCTGTGCTCCTCAGAGCTTGTTCATATGGCACTAACATGTCACAGATGTACTTTGGTGTGAGATCACTGTTCCTACAGTGTGACACAATTTATTCATTGTTGATGACCCAATATACTGTACACAACATCCTCTTCTTGTATTGCAGCCTAGGACGTAAAAGAAAATGTTGTGAAAATCTGTAACTTTGCACATGAACAAAAACTACATAAGAAAAAGATTGAAGAAAGTACCTTCTTTGAAGCTTGATTATTTATAAACGTCACACTACTATACAAAACGTCATTATCTTTGGGACTGCAATAATTCTGGAGAAATGAATAGAACCAGTTACACATGCAGGAATGATCACTGTGAACAGAATATTACCTGGTTTGATGTTGGCGTTTTTGTGACATTGCTATACACAGGGTTGTCTGAACACTGGAGAGAAGGGGGGAACAAAGGCTTTTACATCCCACCCAACTCATTCTGAGCAATAGACAATAAACACTACATGTTCAACACTAGGACTCAGAGAAAGTACTGGAACTCCAAAACCCATCATTTTGACTGTTCCCATTCAAGTCAATAAGATTCTGAAAACTCACAAAGAACTGGTTAATGGAACTGCATTACAATGAAAACTGTTTTTTTGAAAGACTTCCAAATGCTCACACTAAACAGTATGCTGCCACAACTTGCACTTGGGAACTAGGAACTTTAACTGCCTTAGATCAAATTGACTGCTCTGGGAGCTCTAGTGTTAAATCAAATTAGATCCCCCTCCCCCTATATTTCAATTAGTAAAATAGTGCAGTACTTCACCTCTGGAGACGATTCTGCTTCAGTCTTCTTCACTATAAAATAAAAAAGTATTGGAATTCATAATTATAGTCAACTGCACAGTAACTAAATACTTTTAAAACTCACAATTTATTTTCAGTGTGAACCAGGCGAACAATGACACTATTACAATAACTACCAGCAAACCCAGAGCGATGAGAGCTGCTGTAATAGTAAGTAAGTAAGTCAGAGAACTATAAAGAGGAAATAAACACAAATGTACCTTTCAATTTTTTATATATATAGTTTAAAATGTATAGTTACATTTTAAACTTGATGTGACACAGACTGGCCTGGGGGTTCCAAGCGTTTGTGACTCAAAAGCAGTCGTTGATTCTGTTGTAGTAGTTGCAATTGTGGCTGGTTAATCATAAGTCATTTGTGTGATGAAATATGCTCTTTAAACTTAAACACATTTTAGTATTAGTATTAGTTTGTTACTCACTCGTTGTTGGCCTTTCAGTCAATTGTAAAAACACAGGCATTTGCAGGTCATCCAGAGAAAACCAGTACCAGCCAATGTTTTCAGCATTCAGCCCAGACATAGTGACAGAAAACCTCTTGTCGTTATTTTCCATAGATACTTGTGCCCCTTTCATTATTCCATTCCCACTTAAACAGGTCCCACCAACTCGGCACCACTGTTTTCTCCCAGAGCCTTCACATTTAAAATCAACGGTTACTTGGCCGTTATAGTATCCTGAAATCCACTGAGAGTCCACAGACAGCTTTGGTTCAGCTGAAAAAATATAAAACATTTATGTGATTAAATCTTGATTTGATTTGAATACTTAATTTTCTTGTGTCTTACCTTCTGCTGTGACTGTCAACTTAAATTTATTTCCAATGTCTACCCCATGATTGATCTCTATGATGCACCAGTAATCGCCCGAATCTCTTAACTCCAAATTGTTAATTGTAAAAGTGACAATTCTTTGGGTTTTGTCATCATTGATAGAATACTTTGCTAAATTTCCATTATCTGAACGGATTGTGTATCTGCAAGACTTCCAAACAGACCCCCGACAAAGGTATTTCACATGGTCTCTGTAATCGGCCTCATAGTGACATGGGATCAGCACAGTGCGTCCAGCTTCCATGGCAACATGACTGACTGTAATTACACTGTGGATGCCTGAAAAGAGAGAAAGACAATTATTTAATGTTAATACTGAAATATGAAATGATATGTTTCTTACCAGTGATTCCAGCGCAGATTAAGACAAATGTGGCGATAATAGTCATCATGTGAGAATGTGTGGCCGGACAGAAAGTTCAACAGTTACCGTCAAAATGAGTCAACCTCTTCCTTTTTTAAAATGAGATAGAATGGAAATCCCACGCATATTTGTGTCTAGTGTTTGCTCAGGGGAAAGCAGCAACTTCCCATTTCACATGTACTGTACGAAATATTTAAATGAATTTGGTCTTGAGAGGATCAGCTGAAAGCACTCATTCCACATTTGTATAGATATTAAAACACACACCATACTTGGACACACACATAATGACTACTTTTCATTCACTCAAAGGTCCCAAATTACACTTTTGGATTTGCAATGCTATGCTATGATGAAACGTGTTGTTTCATCATAGCATTTGCCAAGATAAGTTTGTTCATTGATTTCCTCTATCTTTAGTAAGAGAGCGATCTTTCTCTTTCATTCTCGAGAGAAAAAAACCCGCATATGTCCACATCTCAAAAAAGACTGTGAAAAATGAAGAAGAACAAAAGCGAGGTATTACACCGCGGTGAAGTTAGTTTGAAGTTGGATATCCGACAGACATTCGCCACAACATTTAAGTGTACCCGTACTACAGACAGTACGGTAAACACACGGAGACATGTATGCTGGTATTTAAAAAAAATAAAATAAAAATACTTAAAACATTTGAATGACAAAATAAGAGGTGTACCCCCTGCAGCTAGTTGGGGACTATGATCCTGACCTGATTTGGAGTCAATAGATCACATGACCTGGAAGCTATTGAGCTAAAATGTTAATATTCACATATAAAAAATAATTAAAAATACTTAAAACATTTGAATGATAAAAGAAGTGTACCTCCTGCAGCTAGTGAAGGACTATGATCCTGACTAATTTGGAGTCAATAGATCACATGACCTTGAAGCTATTGAGCTAAAATGCTAATGTTTACATATACAAAAAATTAATTAGAAATACTTAAAACATTTAAATGACAAAAGAAGAGGTGTACCTCCTGCAGCTAGTGAAGGGCTATGATCCTGACTAATTTGGAGTCAATAGATCACATAACCTGGAAGTTGTTGAGCTGCAGGGGGTACACCTTTTTTTTACATTTAAATTTCTACCCATCCATCCATTTTCTTCCGCTTTATCCGTTGCCGGGTCGCAGGGGCAGCAGTCTAAGCAGAGACGCCTAGACTTGCCAATCCACAAAAACTTCATCCAGCTCGTCCGGGGGAACCCCAAGGCATTCTCATGCTAGCTGGGAGACATTGTCTCTCCAGTGTGTCCTGGGTCTTCCAGGAGGCATCCTGAACAGATGCCCGAGCCACCTCAACTGGTTCCTCTCGACGTGGAGAAGCAGCGGCTCTACTCCGAGCTCCTCACCCTATCCCTTAGGGAGCGCCCAGCCACTCTGCGGAGGAAACTCATTTCGACCGCTTGTATCCGTGTCATTACAGCTTTCAGTCATTACCCAAAGCTCATGACCATAGGTGAGGAAGGGAACAAAAATTGACCAATAAATTGAGAGCTACACGGTGTTGGCAAAGAACTGCTTCCCTCTCTTGAGGTGCTGGACGGTTTGCCAGAATCTCTTCGAGGCCGACCGATTGTCATGCTCCATGGACTCTCAGAATTCTTCCCAGTTCCTGGTTTTTGCCTCTGCAACAGCCCGGACCGCGGTACGCTTGGCCTGTCGGTACTGGACAGCTGCCTCAGGAGTCCCACAAACCATCATGGCTCGATAGGACTCCTTCTTCAGCCTGACGTATCCCTTACTACCGGTGTCCACCACCGGGTTCGGGGGTTGCCGCCGGGACCAGCACCAGAGACCTTGCAACCATAGCTACGAGCCGCTGCCTCGGCGATAGAGGAAGAGAACATGGTCGACTCAGACTGGTCCCTCCTCCGCCGGGACCTGGGAGAAGCTCTCCCGGAGGGGTGAGTTGAAAGTCCACCTGACAGGGGGCTCAGCGAGACGTTCCAAGCAGACCCTCACTACACGCTTGCGTCTGCCAGGTCTGACCGGCTTCCTCCCCTGCCAGCGGATCCAACTCACGACCAGGTGGAGACACGCAGCCGAAGGTCAGATGATACAACAACAAAGTCGATCATCGACTTCTGGCCTAGGGTGTCCTGGTGCCACGTGCACTGGTGGACACCCTTGTGCTCGAACATGGTGTTCGTGAAGTCCAACAACTGAACACCACTCGGGTTCAGATCAGGGGGGCCGTTATTCCTAATCACCGCTCTCTACAGTGTCACTGGCAACACATGGGTGTTGAAGTCCCGCAGGAGAATAGGTAAGGCAAGGCAAGTTTATTTGTAAAGCACAATTTTATACACGAGGCAACTCAAAGTGCTGAACAAAATAAGAAAGCATTAAAATCATAAATAATCGCAGAACATTAAAAAGAAAGATTAAAATATAAAATCCCTCAGTTGTATGCACAGCTAAACAGAACTGTCTTTAACCTGGTTTTAAACATTGTCACAGAGGAGGCCTGTCTCACATCTTCAGGAAGATTGTTCCAGATTTTAGCAGCATGAATCTGAAAAGCAGCCTCCCCATGTTTAGTCCTGACTCTGGGCACTAACAGGAGTCCAGTCCCTGTGCTCCTCAGAGTCCGGGCTGGTTCATATGGGACTAACATGTCACTAATATATTTTGGTGCGAGGCCATGGAGAGACTTGTACACAAGCAGAACTGTTTTAAAGTCTATTCTCTGAGCCACAGGAAGCCAGTGCAGAGACCTGAAGACTGGACTAATGTGGTCGTACTTCCTGGTTCTAGTCAGGACTCGAGCTGCTGCATTTTGAATGTACTGCAGCTGTTTACAGCCTGTTTGGACAGACCTGTGAGCAGGCCATTGCAGTAGTCTAACCTACTGGAGACAAATGCATGGATAAGAATCTCCAATTCTGCTTTAGACACTATGTTTTTGATCCTGGCAATGTTTTTTAGGTGGTAAAAAGCTGCTGATGTTACTGATTTGATGTGGCTATTAAAATTTAAGTCTGAGTCCAGTATTACCCCTAGATTTCTGACCTTGTTTGAAGGTTTTAGGGAGAGAGACTGGAGGTGACAGATGAGGCTCTCTCTTTGTTTCTTGGGACCAAAGACAATCATTTCAGTTTTGTCTGCGTTTAGCAGTAAAAAGTTATTTTGCATCCACTCACTGATCTGTTGGATGCAGTGAAAGAGTGAGTCCACTGATCCATGTTCTCCTGCAGTCAGTGAGACATAGATCTGAGTGTTGTAGAGTGTCGAATAATTGAGTCCCTGGGCGGTGCACTGTCCAGTACCCCTCCCAAGGACTCCAAGAAGGCTGGGTACTCTGCACTGCCGTTAGGCCCGAAGGCTGTCACAACAGTGAGAGACTTGTCCCCCACCCGGAGGCGGAGGGACGCGACCCTCTCATTCACCGGGAAGAACTCCAACACGTGACGGCTGAGATGGGGGGCAATGAGAATCGTCACCTCCGCTCGCCGCCTCTCCCCGCGAGAAACACCAGAAAAGTGGAGCGTCCAACCCCTCTCAAGGATTTGGGTTCCACCTGTGTGTGGAGATGGGCTGACTATCTCTAGTCGGTATCTCTCAACGTCCCCCACGAGCTCGGGCTTCTTCCGCCCAAGTGAGGTCTCCGCTTTCGACTGCTGCCCAGTCCTCTCAACAACTCTCCACCACAAATCCCTCTGTGGGTGTTGGGTCCCAGGAGGGCCTGTCCACGTCATCCCATCGGGTTGTGCCCGGCCGGCCCCGTGGGCTAAGGCCTGGCCACCAGACGCTCGCATATGAGCCCCAACCCCAGGCCTGGCTCGAGGGTGGGCCCCCAGCTTCACCATGCACGATTCTAAATAACGTGCTGTCCATATGTGATCTATTGACTCCAAATCAGTTTAGGATCATAGTCCTCCACTAGCTGCAGAGGGTACACCTCTTCTTTTATCATTTAACTTTTTTAAGTATTTGTAATACATTTTTATACGTAAATATTAATATTTTAGCTCAATAGCTTCCAGGTCATGTGATCTATTTACTCCAAATTAGTCAGGATCATAGTCCTCCACTAGCTGCAGGAAGTACACCTCTTCTTTTATCATTTAAGTTCTTTAAGTATTTTTAATTAATTTAAAATTTAAAACCAAACACTCAATAAAATACCAGCGCACATGTCTCCGTGTGTTTACCGTACTGTCTGTAGTACGGGTGCACTTAAATGTTGCGGCGGCTTTTGAGTCGCAATGTACTCAGAGCGAAGAAGAGGTTTACCGAGGGAAAGACCGCTGAATGTCTGTCGGATATCCAACTTCAAACTAACTTCACCGCCTTTGGCCAATACTGTTCCACCGCATATGAACAGATGAAACAATTTAAAAAAAATATTGTTACGACCCAGCTCAGCTCGGGTGAGTGAAGTAATAAAAAACTGTATAAATGGAAAAAAGTAATGTAATAACAGGAATGTAAATTAAAATGATGATGATAATAATAGGATCACCCTCCCTGTACAGGGAGGATTCAGTTATTTTTCATTTAACAGCATCAGTATTAGAATTCACTTGTGTCAATATAGTCAAGCTATATCTCTTTTGAAAGCTTATTCCCACCTCTATACACGTATTATGTTCAAATAAACATTAAATATAACCAAAAGTAAGAATAAGTAGTCAAACTGTATATATGTTTAAAATATATATTGTCGTTTCTTACCTTGTCATGCTAATATTCTGGGGCAAATCACGTCTAATCCACACATGTGTGCATTCATTTTGTTCGTTACGGTCTAGAGAATAATTATATCCAGTTGTTTTTTCTTCAAAGTCATCCTTATAGTAGATATCCACTTGCAACAACATATTTGAGTATTGAAAGTTGCACAAACAAAAACAAAACCTGTTCTTTGCGCACTGTATGAAGAGGACATTTTAAGCCTAGTGTATACTTGCGCGGCGTGGCTTACGTTAGCGGTTGCGGTGGACCTACGTAAGCACAATGGATGTTATACTGGCGCGTTCCCCTTACGGAGTTTTGAG